TAAAACAAAAACATGATTTGAACAAAAGCTTGAAAGTTCAAAGCAAAGAGTAACTCAGGTGCATTTCACAAAATTTGTCATCAATGAACAACAGAAAATTGAAAAAAAGTTCAAGAAAAAAAAACAAAATTTTCAAATTTTGCGCAGATGTTTTCCAAGTTTTTCTTTCAATTTGAAAGCGCTGAAAAACTTTGACAGTTAATTTTATTCTAACGACACTAAGTGTTAAACACGATTGAAAAAGCCTATATGTGACATATTACTCATTTTTTTCAATGATACTTTCTGGCACTTGACTTTGCGAGGAAAACGAAATAAAATATGCATAGATAGCCGGTTGCTGTGCATGTAGCACAGAATTTTCCTACCACCTTCATAATAGACTTCAAATTTTTTTTCGTCTTTTTTGCAATCTATTTTCTAAAAAAGCTTGAGACAACTGTTATTGCCATGGAAGCGCTAAATGAAGCTTCAGCAACTAACTTTCTTTTAAGAAATCATGTTTTTTTTAGCCTAAATGACCAACTTTCATATAACGAACGTCTGAACGCAGATTTTCGAGCTTTTTAAATACCCTTCGAATCACGACTGACAGATCTTTTTTATGATATATCACTCGGTCCAATCCGATGATTATTTGTGGTAGCTGACTTTGTGCGAAAAATATAAACAAGAAAACACCAAAACACACCTGAAGACAAAAGTTTCTCCCCAGCACGAATAGTCGGACAAACAGTTTATAACAGCTTCGACAAATTTTTAAACCTTATTTCGGAAAAAATGTCTTCACTGATGCAACACTATTGAAAGTCATTCACTTTTTGCCTAGAAAGCGATGCAGGATACGTTCGCTTTCTTGCCAAAGTGACAAAACTTCGAAAAAACGCCTCTTTCTGCAAAAATTATTTTGATCGGAACTTTCGTCAAACAAGATTTTTACAATCTCTCAATAAACTCATGTTCCATAAGATTTTTCCAATTGTTTGTTGGCTTTGTTCCAGGTAAAGCAGCCTTGACGGCAAGACGACATCCGTCGGCGACAGAGACTAGAGTTGTTCGCAAACTAGACTTGACATCTCGCGACTACCTTAGAGACCTAAAGCATATTCAAGAACTACGTCTGGCTCAAATTGACTTCCGCGAATTCAGAATGCCCGAAATGAGCAGCTCACGTTTGAGCACAGAACGCATGGCAAAAAGACAAGTCGTAACCAGTCTGTCTAAAGTGACAAAACATACCTGCAATATTTTAGATGTTATTCATACCACAGAGCGTGAGGCTATGAAAACCTCACAGCTTCAAAGAAACATTCTAGGCAACAATTAATTAACATTGCAAGTTACTGCAATGAGGGGGCACAAAATTTGATTAAACGTTGTTATTATGATGAATATATTATGGCTAGTCAATTTGAATCAAAGAACACTAATTATCTACAAAAGAACACAATAGAAAAACAATTTTTGAGTCAGGAGTAATTAAATGTGGTAGATTTCGAAATTTTTGTTTTGCATAATCGAGTGTCGTGGAAGGAACATATAACTACAAAAATTTAAAACTTTTCTTCAAATTGTAAGTTTAATTTGCACATCATAAAATTTCAATTGATTAAGTTTACTTTAAGTGTAGGGGTACATTATGCAATATGAGTGGTTGCAAGCCACGTCGTCTAATCATATAGTAGCGTTCACCTGAACTGAAAATCTAACAACGAATCAATAGACTAACTGTTTGATATCTAAAAGATCTGGCGACAACGGTCAGTTCTTATCTCTCATGCTCTACTAAGAGACTGTTGACCATCAATGTCCTAACGGTCCCGAGGAACTCCAATCATGCTTTGATTTCCGGTGCTTTCTCTAGTATCGGTTGTACAGCTCCCGCTTCTACTAACCGTTAAGAGAGTATGGTGGTTCTGTTGTTTTTTTTTAGTTCACTTTCATTAGTGGGAAGTCGATTAGGATTGGGTTCCCGTACACTTTTTGTAATTTAACCACTCCTAGTCTAATTGAGGGCCTGATTGGCAGGGTAAATGTTGTTTTTTTTGTATCCTTACTTGTCTTTACTTTTTGCTTGCAACCCCGCTCTGAGAAAAAGGGATTTAGACCGATTTTAATATGAAAAAAGTATGCCGATTAAATTGAAATCGATTCAAGTTGTAAAAAAGCAAGTTCATCAAAAAGAAAAATTCAGATCGATTTGGATCGATTTTAAATCGATTTAAAATTAATTTAAATCAACCGGAAACCATTTCTGTTAGTGCGGGACGCACATAATGTTTCCGAGTAGGCTGGTTCCTCCGAGGCATATGAGGGAGTAGACCATTCCACTGTTTTAACTTTGTATTTTTCTGGCTGTTTTGTCCTTTCGGCTTGTCATGTCGCTGGATTTCCATCGGTTCTCAATTCGCTTTTGTATGGGTCTAGGTGTAACCGCTAGGGTATGCGTTTTTTGGTCTATCTGTTTCTCGTGATTTAATGCTGCCATTACTTTTTTTGTTGGTAACTTGTTCTTCTGTTCCACTGGGCCACTGCGTTGTTTCTTTTGTTTTCGTTATGTACTACTTACTATTCTGCCTGTGTCTTCTGCCTTATTGGCCGCTGGCGTATTGGCCTTCATTATTTGTTTAGGCGAACCTGGGGTGCTGCGGTTGACATTTACCGAACTCAGAGACTGATAAAACTCGGTATAACAGAAGAGTTGATTTAAATAACTACCACCGTAGTATGTATATAGAAGTATAATAGCACAATAGACTTAGCCCAATTTGGAATTAACTTGATGTTTCAAAGCGTATTGTGTAGAGATCGATATAGAGTTTGTTAAGCTAACGTAACAAGAAGAGTTGGTCTGATTCATACGATGATAAACAGACAGATGAACTTAAGTTTTTAGCACCACGGGATAACTTACCACGACTGGTGGGCGACCTTGGCGCCACTGCAATAACTGCAGCAAAGATTGCAGCGTATAAACATGATATGTTATATGCGTGGCATGACATACCCGGGGTTAACATAAAAATATGATTTTTCTGTTGATTTTTCTTTTAAGATAATAACGCCGCCCCCTGGGTGAGAAAACAAAAAACTAAAGAAAAAACATAAAATTTTCTAGCAACAGCACCAAGACAACGTTTTGAAGAAAGTTTGAAGAAAGTTTTGTAATGAGACTGATTACGCTTCCGATTAGCAACCGTTATCAAATCGGAATATAGACGTTTTTTTAGTTAACAGCTAACTTAACAAAATCATTCGAATCAATTATGCTGACATGATCAATTTCATGAAAATTCAAATTTCACTACCGGGTACTAAAATTTTTTATGTATAATTCTAGACAGGCGGGGATCTACGAATTTCTCGCGCCTGTCTAGAATTATACATAAAAATTTTTAGTACCCGGTAGTGAAATTCGAAATTTCATGAAATTGATCATGTCAGCATAATTGATTCGAATGATTTTGTTAAGCTAGCTGTTAACTAGAAAAAACGTCTATATTCCGATTTGATAACGGTTGCTAATCGCAAGCGTAATAATGTGGGAAAGCAAACCGCTCGCCACTTTTTCCATACAATTTCCCATAGTGATAAGGCGTTCTTGTAGAGCGTCATGTCAGAGACCGCAAATCAACCGATTAACCAATGAAACACACGTTTGATATGTGCTTTTTCACTTAAATTCGAAAACAACGCTTCAACAATTACTACAAAACAAAACAACATGTCGTTATGAAACAAATATAAGGCGGTTTCTGAAAAAAAAATATTGGCATACCTTTCAAATTCTCCTTTTTTTTTATTTGCCCCCGGCCTGCTCAGTGCAGGACCAACCATGGGGGAGGGGGAGATGTCATCCATTTCGCCGCAGCCGGTCCCACCTTGAGGAGGCGGATGACACTGGGACCCCTCCAGCCGTGACCGAAGCGGGATTCGAACGCATGACCCTGGTGTTGAGAGACATGTGCCTAACCCACTCGACCACGGCTGCTCCCTCTCGACCACGGCTGCTCCCCTTCAAATTCTCCTGATCAGCATTCGCTGCGTTTGAATTTTGCAAAGTCATATTTACCGAAAGAATAATTTAAATACTCAAAAGGAACAGAATTATATATTTAGATACCGATTATCTTAAAATTCAACTAGCTTCTATTCAATTTTCTAATGGTTTAAACTTGCGATTTTCTTGAGTTGCAGAACGGAACATAGCCTATAGACAGTAGGAAAAGAATAAATGATGCAAGGAAAACAAAAAACTGTATCGTATTTCAAACAAAACATTTTTAAAGCTCTTTGAAATTAAAGGAAACTTATGGTTGACACTTTTTGGACAAAAAAAAACAATTTGAGAAAACTGGATCAATAGGTAAAATGTTTATTCCGCTGAGAAATCTGAAACCAAAATTATCGAAATTAAAGTTTATCACCTTTTTTTTGTAACCTTTACACTTTTACTGTTCGATAGAGGAGCTTGCCTTCCTTTTAACAGAAATGAACAAAACTTGATAATAAATCAAAAGTCATTCAGCGGAAAATCATAATTTTAAGACTATCGGGGAAAAACATCACGAACTATAAAATCTTCACTGCGTTTAGTAACTCTTAAAAACCTAAGAAAACTTTTGTTACATACACCGCTAATTTATGCGAATAGTTAGTTTGTTCTATTGTAAAAATAACAGATTTTTTTCGCTTTCTGTTGCTATTGTAACTTAACGCAGCTTATCTCTTTTTAACCTTTAGAAACCTTGTTTTGTAACTAGTTGTCGGCACTCTTGGTCACCTTATTTTTTGGAATTTTTGACTTCGGCACTATTGTAGTGGACCAACAAACATGATCCAAATTAAAACATCCTCCAAGTTCATACAACTTGAAACCATTTTAAGACTGTCAGATATTAGCTCATCTGATTGGGTTTCAAATAACAGTTTTGAAAAGTTTTTAAATGATTTATGTTAAACGATTAATAGTTTTAACATGACTCGACGTTGCCGAAAAAGAAAACTTAAATAATTAACTACTATAAATCACATCAAGGCTGTAATCCAGTTTAATCTGTACACAATTAGCAGTTTACTTTAAATTTAGCCCAAGAACATGGATTTGATAAGTCCAGCTTTGCTGGGCATGGAAGGCACGTAGTCTTTGAATCCCTCCTCCTCCTCTTGACCTTGACCGGTGACTGAGTTGGCCTGTTCCGACACTGCACTCTTCATGCCTTTCCATTTGTTCATGAGTCTGTTTCCGGTTGAACTGATTTGCTGTTCATGCAGTCGCGTCTCATTGCGGAAATTGACCATCTGCTGCAACACGATCGAATCCAAAGCCAGTTTGTTCAGCAGGGCAAACATGTCTTCCGCTTTTAAACTATGCAAGCGAAGAGTAAAGTTAGCTGAAATGAAACAAAAAGGTGATTTGATCTGATTATGACAAAACAAAAATAGAAATTAGGGGGCACTCGAGTCACGTGACATATTCAATTCCTATCAAGAAGTTTCAAGCTGTTCACAAAAATCACATACTATTGATACTTAATGCAGTAAATCAAATTAATGGCAAACTGCAGAAAAATGGTCTCCCAGTGGCCAGACGATAGGCAAACTACGACACTTCGGCGCTTCATTCTGATAACCCTCTGCTGTTTTTGTTAAGTTTGAATTGCGCGCCGATATCTGCCAGGCATTTCACCAAGCCCATCCATCTAATTGTCATTACAAATATTTAAATGTTCTAACCTTTATCTACGCACTTGCAGCAGGGACATGGCTTCGCTGTACTGAACACTTTGTCGCTCTTGATTAATTCTGAAAAAAGCAGCAAACTTTGAACTTAAAAGAGATTAGCTAGTCACTGTGCTATTTGCACATAAAAATTCGACAAGTTATCCTGCAAAAAAAATCATAACTAAAACATAGCCATTAGAAAACTTCACACAGAGGCAAACACTAGCCAGAACACGACAAAAAGCAGCTCTAGAGATCTAAAAAGTGCAATAAGTTACAAATTTATTTCTGCGCTTTAGTAATTTCAGTTTTATTTATGAATTGGTTAGTTGTTTTCGCAGAAGCTTTATCTTAGTTTGGCTCACACTGGCGCCACTCTTAGCAAAAATAGTGTGCAATGTGTCTAAGCGTGATGTAGGTCGGTTGGTGACGCCGGCTAAAGAGCTTGCTCAGGATGTCCTACTGGTGGGTTAGGCCAGTTGTTTGTAGTACTGGGTGGTTTAAAGGGTTGGAAACTGAATCAACACCATGGATCGTTAGACACTTAGTTAAAGTGGTGGGTTGAATTTGAAAGGTTTAAATTTAATAGATCCAAGGAAAGCCTTGACGTGACGATTTAGTTTTTCAAAGAAATACATTAAAATTTTTAAGATTAACGAACAAAGGAGAGGCCTTGATGGTCTTGTAATTTGAATACATTTAAAGTTTTAAAGATAAATGGTTCAAGGAAAAGCCTTGATGATCTTGTAATATATGTTAGTTTTTGAAATAGAAAGTTAAATTTAGTTTAAAAAATTTCTTTAGGATTATGTTATTCAATAACTTTTTAATGATGTTTTAGATAAAAGAGTCAGAAGACAAGAATTCAATGAACGCTGATGTCCAATGACAATTAGATTTGAACTATTTTTATATTTTGCAGATTTTAAGTTTTGAGGTAGATGGGTTTTGACAAGTTTTGAGAAGTTAATTTGGCGAATATGACAAGTGGATTCCGCACTTTTTGTAAAATCCGCAATTTTTTAAAGCGAATTCCGCATTTGCTAAAGAATTTCGTATCTTGTTAGTAGATTCCGTTTATATATCCTCAAATATGACACAGTAACAAACGCATAGACACAATTAGTTCAGATATCTAACTATTTTCTCTACGGTACTAGTTGATAATATCTACTTCAATAAAAGACACACTCATTGATTAAGCTAGAGTGGAAGTGTGCCTAGAACCAAATCACCTCCCGCAGATGCGATTGGGAAAATACTTAAAAATTCCCTCGCTTCAACTGCTCACCCAGTAGTGTCTTGAGTAGTGATTCGACTCTGGGTTGGGTTTTTCTGTGGTTGCACTGGTCCTTGGTACACCTGTCCACTCTACACTCACAGTTGTCCACGTTCACATACCTAACGGAAAACACCACCAGTTCACTTCAGACAAGGCATCACATTCTAGTTCTACTAAATCTCAGCTTTTAATACTAACTCTCAGCTTCTAAGTTCCTGCCAGTATGTTTAATTGACCAAAATTACAAGCACCGGTGACAGCAGAATCATTACAAGAAATTCAAAATTTTAGTTAAGTCTTTCCCGTTACAACTCAAAACTAGTAAAAAAAAATCTATCATGGAAAATCTTAAAACTGCTTTTGAAACTGAAACCAGACTCTAGTTACGCATCATTTACAACATAGCTATTGGATAGTGTAAGATGCATTTTACTTAAATAAAAAGTAAGTTAAACTGATGTGATCTTGAAACAAAATCAACTGTCGAACCACCAAAATATGAAACTATTGTTCCGACTTTCGGAGAATGCCGGAGTATTTGAGCAGACAAAATTCGAATTTTTAACTAGGAACTTCTGACGGAGCTTGTTTATATCATCTGAAAGATTTTTTTTTTCAGTTCAAATTTAAAAAGATATTTTAACAGCGATCATTTTTTATAATGTAATTGACGCGCGGTATATTTATAAAGTAATGAAGTGATTTTTAAAAGGTAATTGGCGCGCGGTTAAGGCCATCAAGAACATGTTTACAATCCCAAATAGCCAAAATAGCAATTTTCAAAAACCCATAACTTCACGAAAAACGTTCACAGGTGCTTTTTTGTATTTGACATCCGGATAACAATATATTTCAGATGGTATGAAAAACTTTCCGTCAAAATTGCTTAGTAAAAAGTCGAAAATAGACTGAACAAAAAACCGGCCCAAGCATAAATATTCCGTTTTCTTCGAGAGGAACAATTAGAGGGGCGATACTGAGATGATTGAATCTGTTATCTCAGAGTAGTTCCGTAAAACTAGTCAGAATTCACACAGAGAACCTAGAGGTTAGTCACGGAAGATGAAGCAATAATATACATGAAACTCCGAACGTGGGTTGCACATAATCGACGAAAACTTCATAGTGAACATGAAAGAGAAAAATTTAGAAGCATTCGGGCAAACTCCTGATTTGATCCGCTCATATGCGCTATTATTCGGCAAGAATAACATAGTGTTCATGAATCAGTCTTTCCAGCTTACTAGCATTAATTTCGAACTTTTGCGTGATATAAATTTTGGATGAACTCAAATGATATTGACGAACAATTCTATGGGGCTAGGTTTTTTGGCAGACTCAAAACAATAATCAAAATGGTGAAATAAACCTGGCGGGGTTAGGAAATTAGACGATAAGCAAATTAGACGTGACCGACAAAAACGAATTTAGACGTTAAATTGTTTTTGGAAAACTAGCATTTTAGACGGAAAACAAAGGGCTAACAAAACTTATTACTTAAAAAAAGTTTTCATAATTACATAAATAGTAATTATAAAACATTTTTGAAATGCATAAATTATACAAGTCTAAGCATTTTTAAATGCTTAGACTCTCATGTAAAAATGCGGAATGTGAAAAGTTGATTAACATTTAAGAAAGCTCGAACGAAAGTTAATTGAAGCGGGTAAACACGGTAAAGTCGGAAGTCGCTTCATTCCGTTTGTTTTGCTCAGCGTTTTGTTGACAAACCATAAAATAATTGTCTAAATTAGGGAACCTTAACCACCTATTACGCGCCTTGTTTCTTCGGTCAATCAATTATATATGAGTCAATTTCTGCTCCCCCCACTATTGTGTCAATAAGAATCTGCAAAAAGACCTCTTTTCACTATTTATGCTAAATAAACCAGTCAGCCAAATAACTGGTCCCCAAAATCTATGATATTGTTCAGCTGTGCTAAAATAAAAAATATATAAAACACAATTTTTCTCGTCTGTTTTTTTTATATATTTTTTAAAAATGTATTATCAACATGTTATAGCTTAGACTCTCAGTAATTGCTTATTGTGCCTTAATTCTATCTACTACATTGTCATCTCTTTTATTTGATTTACAATTCAGAAGGTGTGAAATTAGCTGTTGTATATAAATTTGGTTTTTCATATTTTTAAAATAAATTCTTTCTTTCTGGAAGAGGTTACATGCTCTTTTACTGTGTACAATATGTACTTCGATTGATTGTTCATTTACTATAAAAGTATCCGTTACTGTGGTGTTGTTGTGTACCTGTGTATCCACTTGAACACCTCATCTTGCGTGAAGGGATCACTGGGGTTGGAATTTGAGGAAGACTTGCTGCCACTACTACTACTACTACTGCCTCCACCCATCATGTTCTTCAGGGAGGAGAAGGCACCTGCGGGCTAAAAAACATACACACATCAACACACAGACTAGATAAATGCAACAGTTGAACAGAATGTCAGAGCACTTCCAAACAATAAAAAGTCTTCTAAACATCCCAAAAATACTGATTTAATGTCAAGCACTCTTTTAGACTTTTGAAGTTCGTGCATTGAGGGATTACCTCTCGGAAACATGACACAGATGCGAGGCTGCAGTTAACAAACACCAGCCAAAATGAGCCGTAGAAAAAGCCACACGTTTGGATATTAAATTAGCAACATTGCGAAGAGAAAAAAAATCCCACAATCTTCGAGCAGACACCAATTCAGTCGAAAAAAAAATTATGAAAAAAAAAATTTAAGCCCCCCCCCCAGAAACTACATCGATTTGCACTTGCATCTACAAGGAAAGCTCCTTACAGCACAAACAAAATCCCTAATGTGGCAACAAAGCCGACAACTTTTGAGCAGACACCAGTTCAACCGAAAAAAAATAATTAAAAAAATTTCAAGAGCTCTTAAACTACATTGAACTTGCAACTATAAAGAAAATACCTTGCAACGCAAAAAATTCAGTGATGTGGCAACTAAGTCGACAAAATTTGAGCAGACAAACAAAAGTCCGACAATGTAATTTTTCAGCGAAAAATTCAATTGCATACATACTGAAAGACAGTATCTTTTATGACATCGTTTAATTAAAATCCACCTATTTTGAGAAAACTGGATTACATATTTATCTATTTCACTGTGATATTCACTAGTTAAAATCAAGTTTCGAAACTAAAATTAATTCACGTTTTTTGCACCATTTCCATTATATCGGAGCACGTAATTTTACTTCCTTTAAGCAAAAAAATTTGAACTGAAGAATCAAAAGTCAAATCTCGAATATCAATATGTATCTTTTTTCAAAAAAATTAAACAAAAATCATCAAGACTCATTATTGTCTTCACTATGTTCATTGACAAACTTCGTACTTTGATCATGTTTAAAACTCCGGGGAAACATTATGATTTTTGTGGCATCACAAATCACAATTGAGAGGGCTTTAAAAAGATACCTCTTTGGACCGTCTACGGCGTTTCACTGTCATACACGATTTTCTGAGAAAAACCAACCTAGTGGTCGGAAAAAACCAAGAAATACAGATTTTTGCGATCTGGATCTGATATAGTGATTGAGATCTATAAAAGTTAACCAACAGTATTAACGTTCCTCTCCATGCCGCTTCCAATAATGAAATATCGACCATTCAAACCTTTCGTCGTGTAAATTATTATCAATGCTACTTCGATACAAGTTGACCTATAACTAATAACACTTTCTTCAACCCTTGCTAAAGACACGCTTTTAGTAAATAATTAAGCAACTTTGAGGGAAATAAAGCTGTTTAAATTTTCTCAGAATACAGAAAAGGAAAACGAAATTCTCTGAGCTCTTACTTTTCGCGATGTCCATAGTATGTTGAGTACAACATTGGCGTCGTCCCAGGTGAACTTTGAGCCCTCTATTTCGTTCATGCCGGGTGGAAGCAGTCCATTGGCAATGGTCAACTCACACTTGCCCTTCTCCAGAGTCATGATCTAAAGAGGAAGTATGGCTGGCCGCTTTTTGGATACGGTCAAAAAGAGTTGAAGCGGCTCACAGAAGTTGATTCTTCCATTAAAGCCCTCTCCCATCAAATTTTAGCTGCCTTTTTCCCAAATATTCTCCACTTGACAGGTGGCTTAAGCTTGCTACTGTACAAATAATGGATAATGAAAAAGGTTCAGTATCTTGGAAATAAGAATAGGAAGAATATCAGTATTAGGTTTAGAAGCTGCAAGAACCTATCCGGCTAAATTAGATAGCACAAAAAATTACTTCGTGTATTCAACCAAGAAATACTCTTGAGATAGAAACCAAAACCGATCTCGTCTGGGGCGCCCAAAAAGTCACGTAAAAGGCATTTAAAATTTAACCTATTTAATTTATCAAGTAGGAATTGAAGTTTTACGTCTCAATACATCTGACAAAGAAACTTGAATAAATAAACTTATCGAGTAACAGTACAGAAGTGTGCAGTATTGATAGTATCTAATTATTAATTGGTATCATACATTGCAGAAGAACACGGGCAGAAGAACACGGGCAAATTTTTCAGACCTCGAAATAGATTAAATTGTTCTAACTGTCTTGGAACATCTCCATTGAATTCCAATTTGTTTGCGTCAAAACAACAACACATTTGAGAGACAACAAAAGGTTTACGGCTATTCCCCTTTTTCTTGAAGAAAGCATTGTAGCTTGCGACATGTAAAACTGTTATTTCCAAACTTGGCAGTTAGAACCTCAGAGTCGTCGATAAGAGCACAAATTTAGCAATAACATGAGCTCCTTTGACGTCCGTCATAAAGTTCCCTTAAATTCCATAAATCTTTTTTCAATACTTTCATCCTTGAGAAGCTTGCAAATTTTATCAAGTTGTTAAATCGACACGACTTCTTTGCGTTTTCAAAAAATTACCTAACCATTTAAACCAAAGTTTTACCTGAAACATAGTTTCAACACATCATCAAAGCTTTCCTTGGAGCTATTTGAATCATTAATTTCTTTACTCAGATTCTTAGTTTTGAAAAAACATCCCTTAAATTGTATCTAACGACCTACTGGTTTCGTTTCGCACTCCACTCCCTTTATCAACACTTCGGAATAATTAATTAAATAAACAAGATTTGATCTTGGATTCTAAAAACCAACCATTTTTCCTTGCATTGTCTAACGACTTTTCGGAGACGATTCATTCTACCATCACATCCTTATTCACCCAAGACGAAACCAAACTAAAATTACTAAACTTAAAACAGTTTGTAGCATATCATTTGCGCTTTGAGCACTGTAGAACATTGTGGAATGATTCATTCTTCTCTAGAAAGTTTATTTCACAACCGTCACCAAGTAAGATTAAGTAAGACCTCCTTAACTCATATATCAAACCCATCATGATGTTTTTATGGTTGTAATAGTGTTCGAAAAATTTGTGGAAGTTGATTTGATCGTTTCAAATTGGATTTATTGACTTACTTCTTTCCGCGTTTGAAATTCTGATTCTGATTGAATATTAAACTACTTAACCTAAAAGATCAAGAGAACTTCCAAACGCAGCACATTAAATTAAAAAAGAGCTAGCGTGTAACGCACCTCCGATGCTTCGAATTTTTCACAACTCATAAAAGACCGCAAATATTGGAAACAAGATATGCAGCCTTTTAGGGTACTATGACAGCACCAAATTACAGATTTGGTATTTTCAAATTTTACAAAAAATTAATTCAAGTTTTTTGAAAATTTAAAGAAAAAACACAAAAAACGTCATATCTGGAAAACTACAAAGATTTGAGCAGTCATAATTGGAGGCAAGATTTCCAATCCCTGAGAGTACTCGATAGCCCCCAACTACAGGGTTGGGAATTTCAAATTTTGAAGAAAAAAAAATTATTTAAGAAATGAAAACTTTCGAAAAATCTTAAAAATCGTCGAATCTCGTACACTAAAAGGATTAGGGCATTCATAATTGGAGGCCAAATTTGAAACCCCTGGGGAAACCCTGACAGCATTCCACTATTGGGCTGCTGTTTTCAAATTCGGTGAAATAACCACTGAATTTAAACCAGAAAATCTAAAAAGAAATTCTTAACCATTGAAATATAGGATATAGCTGAACGTGAAAAAATTCGTTAAAAATGATTCTTTGAAAAAACTTACGCGTGGCGAGGTAGTGAAGCCCGCATTTAAATATACAATAATAGATACTAGCAGAAAATTTAAAAGCAGACGAAACTTACAAAAGATAAGATAAAGGTGGAAATTAGGACGAAAACCACAAACGAAAAAAAAAACTTACTTCTATCAGTTAATTTAAAAACAATAATTTCTACTTTATATGAACTCCGTAGATTTATTCAAATTTTAAAAAAATCAGAATTTTAGACAGCATGCACGTAAAATCAACTGCAAGTATCCGCTTCTTCAGGGGAGCTCACTGCATCCTATTTTCTCCATTGATCCTCAATATCAAATTAGCAGGGTTGATTTAAAGACAATGAATGCAGTCCAAAAAATGAGCTATATGTTGAAATTTCTGAAAAAAATTGTCAAAAAATGGGCCATTATGAAAAAACAATGCATTATTTTCGAGTGCGTAATGGTATCGTGACTGAAAATGGGACTCAGCCGCTTATGCAGGGAGAATTCCTTCTGTTGAGCCATTAATCGCATTACTGACAGGGATTTTTTTACCGAGAAAACTAAAATGCATCCAAAAAACAGCCAAATTTTCAGTTTTTCCACGCAGAAGCGAAGCTTCGCTTCGCAAAAACTGGCGAGAACACGACAGAAAGCAGCTCTATAAAGTGGAATAAAAAAAGTAGAAATAATCCTCGAATGAGTAAAAATTGAGCTAGGTCTCGGATTCGATCTTGCAACCTAGTGCGACTTAGAGATTATGAGTCTCACGCACTAACCAATAAGCCACAAATGCTTAATACATCACATACAACAGCCACAAATAAAGCAGAGAACAGATATGAAATTTGCAATTCTAGGTCGTGATTATAGCAAAGGTGCCACCAAATAAGTGAACACTTTCTACTTTCAATGAACACTTTTATTTGCGAGTTGGGTTAGAAAAAAAGAAGGTTCGTAGTAAGACACTAGGCTGATGGCTAAATTAAAGTTTGTAAAAAGTCAATAACGGTTTTTTCACTCAAATTGGAAAAATCCAGAAAAACATTTTTTTATTAAATATTTTATCTCGGATTTTACAAGAGCTTTTTTTGGGAAAACATGTGATTTTTACGTAGTGGAAAACATGTTTTCTAATTAACTTGTAGATGAAACTATTATGCAGGGCATATCACCACAGCCTGATCTTTCGATTGAACCCCTCATTTCAGATTTTGCAGGATAGTTCTTGAGAAAGGTGAAAGTTTCCAAAATTTGTCGAAAGTTCAAAAATTGACTTTTCTTATATCAATAACGTATTCATGCAGGTAGCTCTCTGATTCACAACTTCAATAAGTAACTCCACAAACTGGCGTTTCGATGGACCCCATAATCTTAAATTTGGCAGGGTACCTTTCAAGAAAGTACACAAAGTTTCCAAAAAACTGTCAAAATTTTAACAAAGGACACTTCCGAAGTCAATGTGGGATTTCTCATTTAGGAATATTCGTAAAACCTGTTAAATCGATTGACCCCTTAATCTGAGAAATGAAAGAATTTAAGAGACAACTTTAGGATACAGAATTTTTCTCGTTTAAGAGAAAAGTGAATAAGTTAACAAAAATTATATTTTTTTCCTTGACCGATAGCAATTTTTTCTTTTAAAATTACAGATTAGCCACATATGCGGCAACAACCTGTTATTTTGATTAAGACCCTTGATGTCAAAATTTCTTTTTTGCCCACAAATCCATACTGGTTCTTCGAAAAATAAGAGCTTGTAGCAATTGCGGGAAACAATTGCAGTTAGTGCAGTCGATCTCTTCAATCTACTATAACCCTTAATATAAGGTTTGGCAGGGCAGTTTTCAGCAGAAAAAAATATTTCAGAAACAACTATCAAAACAACGATTTTTCTACATCAATCAGGCACTTAGCTACTACTGCAGGAAAAAATGCCCACAATCTGCTCATTCAATTGAATCCTTCATCTCAGATTTGGCAGGGTATTTTTTTAAAAAAAAATCCAAAAAACTGTAAAATTTTTCGCAAAAAAGTACGTTTACCAAATCCATAATAAATCTTCCACAAAAATTAGAGCGTAGATGCTTATGAAGCGAAGATACAAACAGGCTATTTTTCCAAAAAAGTGAAAAAACTTTCCAAAAAATGGTCAAATTTAATAACGGTTTTTCTAAAATTAAGGCGCGTAAGCCACTAATGCAGGAAAAAAGTGAAAACTTGCTCATTTAATTGAATCCTGAAAATCAGATTGTGCACGGTAAAAACTGATAAAGTTAACAAAAAACAGTCAAAACTTCAAAAAGTGGAAGTTTTCCTAAGCCGATAGCAGTTTTTCTATTAAATACAGATACGCCGCTTCAGCAGATGACATTAATTTAACCATTATTTAAATTTTCATCCTTTATATCCGATTTGGCAGGAGAGTTTTCTAAGAAAATTCAAAAAACATTCCGAAAAACGGTCACAATCAAAATTTAACTTTGGCAGTTTCTATTCGAATTTAATTGTTTTTTTTTTCAAATTTATGGCACCTAGCCAAGAAACTTCTCAAAGCTTCTAAATTAGATGAATTCTTAATTAAGCTTGTTAATTCAGCTGAATCCCTAATCTCTGATTTCACAGGGTAGTTTTCGAAAAAAAAACGGAACACGTTTCCAAAAAAAACGGACAAAGTATCAAAAATTAGTCATTTCCCAAGTTCTTAACGGTTATTCGACAAAACTTAAGGAGTTTTTATACAAAAATTACATCGTAACAACTTCATTAGGGAAGATTCTCACTGCCAGTTTTTGCGATTGAACACTTTATCGTCGACTCGGCAACGTGCCTTCTGAGAAAATGAAAAAACTCGAACTTGGGTCAAAAATTCCTCAGAAATAAAATTTTTCGAGACCGTAGGGAGTAAGATAAGGTAAAAAGAGATTGAATTAGGAGCTGCACTTTCCATTGGTACAATTTTGGTGAAAGTTAAGATGTGAAAAATGTTTTCGAGAAAAAAGAAAACCTGAAAAAATCTAAAGCATCTTTAAAAAAAATATGAAAAAACCCAAATTCATAAATCCCAAGCGTTTTCGAACAGGAACTGAAAATTGGCATTCCAAAATCAAAATTCCGCCTGCGCTACGAAACATTTAACAATTTAAATTTATGATCAGAGCGGGAATATTGATTTTGTTGACCTGAAACTAATTACAAAAAAAACACCAGGAGTTTCAATTTAAAATTACTTCAATTAATTGACACTGCATCTCTGCAAACACAACAACCCATGACACTCTAATTGCTCAAACTTATCGATAAGCTAATGTGATTTTATATTAATTGTCTGGCTTACGAAATACTTCAGTTTTCTTTCACAAAAATCTTGATTTTCACCAATCGCTTTTACTCTAGCCGGTGCCACATTCCAGAAATACTTCCTGAAAAAATGCAAGAAAAATTTACCTTTGTGCATGAGTCCCCGGCCTGTTTCTTGAGAGTCTGATACTTTGAAAAAGGTGTATAGGGTTCGAAGGCGTAGAACTGCTCAGTCCCGCTGTTGTCACCTCTTGCGCTGCTCTTCCAGCCACTCTTCTCACTCAGCAGACATCTGCCCAGCGCGTCGAACATCTCCGGCGGACAGACGAGGAGAATGTTGCCGGGCGAAATCTTGGTCATTTTCGAGTTCCATCCTCCATGTTTACTGCTGAACTCGTTCAGCAAATCCACGTGTTGTTGTTTCATTTTAGTACAGTTCAAGCAAATCTAATTCTTTTCCTACACTTTTTATATTTGCGTTTTTTTAATTGAATAGAGTTCCAACTCAGTAGCACATTTGATATGATGAGGGATTTGATGATGGCAAGAAGTATAAGGCACACAGTACAGTTTTCGTAAGCTATAGTAACATTGTCGATTTAGTCAATAGAATGTCGTCATTAAGTATCTTCTGAAAATGCAAACACGTCAGAGAATTTGAGCAACCTTAGTTTGTTGAGATGATTCGAATAGTATCTTAAATAGTTCTTTGAACGACAATGATTCAAAGAACAAAAGAAAAGATGTCACAGAAAAGAAGAAACCCTCATAGTACAATAATGAAAATTAGTCATTTTACAAAGTCGCTAGATGGACGCATGTAAACAATAAACTTGCGAAAAGAATGGGGGATTTGACAACAAATAAAAACAGAGGGGAAGCTTCGCTTCGCAAACACTAGGGAGAACAGGACAGAAAGCAGCTCTAGAAAGAGCAATAAGAAAAAAATAGAAATAAGCCTCGAATTAGCAACAATTCGGCTAGTTCTAGGATTCGATCTGCGACCTACTGGAATCAAGAGATTTTGAGTCTCACGCTGCGCACGCTTAACCAACGACAAACACGGTGGAATCCCTGATGCGCGAAGGACCGAATGCGCGGAAATAAAAATCAGCTTATCAGATTTCAGTAATCTAAAATTTGGAAAGAAAGTAAACATTTTCAGAGACTGGAGTATTGATTTTGGCCGAATATAAAAATGGCAGAAATATGCAAAATTTTCAATTTGTCATTGACCGCCGCAAAATTGGGACAAATTTTACATTTCAAGGGTTTCGTAATGAAAGAAGCAAAATATTGCTTCATTTAATTCATTTTAACTGAATGGCAATTGTTTCTTTTTAAAAATTGACTTTCGGTTAATTTTGTCTTCGGCCCTTTGCCCACAAGTTTTTTCGCCCAGTCGGTCCTTCGCGCATGAGAATAGCCCCCGACAAACACTAGCCACGAATATAGCAGCTACATATCCCAAAAAAATGACAATGCTGTTCAGCAAAAGTGGCACCAAATACAAATAGACGCTATAGTTTTATTATTGTTATGTTGTTTGACACAAATAGCTTTGTTCGGTTCATTTGCTAAATCAAAAATGCATCAACTGTGTTAACTTATTGCTCTTAGAATATCAAAAAACATGCTATCAAAAAGTTGAAGAATTTCTAGATTATTTCTGTGATATCTTCAAATACTGAAACATGATTAGCTGACATAATTTTCGGGGATACGATCCTTCTGGTATGCGAGCTTCCTCTGCTAAAACACATCATAAATGCGGCAGTCACAAGAGTAACGCACATCGCAGGTTCTTAGTAATTCCGAGTAATTCAAATTAATATTGAAGCCCCATAAGCAAGGGAAGCTTATGCCGTACAAAGCCTCGGTTATTACGAAAGTAAGCTTAATGAAAACTCGATAAAGAAAGGAACCGTTTTTGGAACGAGTGTATTCACCCTCTGAAGCCATACGTTCTAAGCACTCATTTTTCTCATTCTATTTCAATACCAATATGAGCAGGGAAATGAGCATCGTCAATCTTCAAATCTATCCTGACATTCCCTCCTGTGACTTGTGCCACGATAATTTTATGGCTAGCTTCATATGAACAATGATTAATTAACTTGGTAATCATACACAAGTCGAATTTTTCATGCCGAATTTTTTTTTCTTTTTTTCAGTATTGGGATCCCTTTGTCAATCCATCTCCATTTCGTTTCCATCAACAGTCAAGGCATTGATCCTGTCGGGACACATACTCTCTATTGCTCGACATTGTTCTCTGTTTGTTCCCTTTTGCATTCAAGAAAATTTTTCAGACTGGTTTGGGTTTTCGTTCTGGCTGGGCTTATAACCATCTAAGTACATTGGAAATTTTGACTTGAACTCGTTAAGATGCCATCATCGTATTCTTCGTTTGATGGTAGAAAATCTCGCCTGTATGTTGAAGCCTGCACCCAGCGTTTGAGTTTTGTATGTTCTTCAAGGTAGGGCCATTATGGGTTCCAATTGATTCCTGTTCCCCCCAATCATCAACAAATTTAACGATCATGATTAATTCATTTTCCGTGATTCATCACGACCATGCCACTATTGATAGCAATCACCTTTGAGCGACCAATCTACTCTTTCTCGAATATCTTTCGATTGCATCTGACAAAATCATCAAATTTACACTTACACGTCTTTAGTTTTTGTTTTCGTTTCAGCTTCACATCGTTTTCTGCCCAAAAATTTCTCTTGCGGTTTGAATTGTTTTGGTGTTGCTTTAAAATATGAATATCCTCTCTTTTCGAACTTTTAAAGCAACCCTGACTATCTTCCTCGTTAAGGACGTTTAATTCAGGATGGACTCCGTAGTCAATTGAAAGAAAGACACTCCTTTTACATCTATCAGCGTGTGCAATTTGGATGGCCGGCTCATGGAGTTACTTTTTATTTCCCTCCAGCTTTTCCTCAAAATAAATGCCTTTGAGAATGCCGTTATGTCTCTCAATAACTCCGTTCGATATGGGCAAGTATTTCTTCATAACTTCGTTGAACACCACCACGAGGGTTCCATAATATTAGAAAGTCAAGTTAAAAAGTGGCCATCTGCTATAGCATTTATGGGAAAATCAATTCTGCTGAAGTTATGATATCATGATTGACTGCTGCTCAGCTTGCAAATTTTTGCTGTTTCAATTGTACTCAATTTTTTCTTCATACAATTCAATCAGGCGTCGGTTTTAAGCTCAGGGGCGTCACACTGAGGATCTGGCCGTCAGGTTTTTTAGAACTCAAGATGATTTTTTAGAATTCATTCAGATTTTAGAATTCATTCAGAACTTAAGTGACTATGTTGCTACAAAAAAAATTTCAATGCAAAAAATTATTTGTGTTCAAATTTTTAATGTTTGATCAATTAGTTCACTGCATTTATTTAAGGGTATTATATTAGTAGGCATTATCTATGTCTTTTGTCTATACTTTGCAGCGCTAAACTATTTGCTTGTCATTTAAACTTTGTTGAATTGTATTTAGGGTTGGCTTTAAGTCCCATCAAGAACGACTGTCGTCTTAATTGTCGTACAAGTACAAACTGTTTTTTATTTGCCGCACAACCTATTCCACCTCGTTATCAAAACGACTCAAACATAAATCTAGGTCGCTCTTGAGAACCAGTTCTTCTCCCAAAGGACGCTGCGCAGTCAAATAGAAGAGTGAATTCTTAGAGATTAATTCGAAATCTTACAATTATAGAAAACAGAATATGAACATGAACTCTCAGAAAAAAAACATTGAGAAGGGCAACAATACTGTACATCTACCAATTGGCAGGAAAACCAATTACACGATATAATTCAAAATTCAGGGTAGCTACGCAAATTTCAATCCACTATTTGTAAAAGACATCAAAGTGCGAGTTGGATAAATAACAAATCAATCTAGCTTCTACAATATACAGTGTGAACATATGATCAGTTTCATTTAAACAACAGCAGTGTTACATCGTCTTTCACAGAGGCGAAGCAGCAATTCGCAAACACTAGCAAAACAAAGAAGCGAAATGGAGCGAAAATCAATTGGAAAGAAAATAGGCTATTTAAATAGGCATTAAAAAAAATAGCCTAGCCGGGATTCAAACCAGGGACCTCCACGAGTCATCTGCCTCTACGACTGAAAAAAAAAATTAGCGCGGAAATTTGCTAGTTAGGTTGAAAAAAAGAACTCGTATAATAACACAAGTGTTTGCTTGTGTAATGAGATCAAAGTCAGTGCAGCAGCATCAAATACGTCACTTCACCCATCCGAGAGACTGCGATTATCTTCTTCGGGAGACGTCGGGTACTCGCTGCTACGACCACTTCCGTGTGGAGATGATCTGGGCGAAGTTGAGTTAGCTGGATCGGAAGATCCGGAGAAATTGTTCCAGGATCCATCCATCCTCATGTCAATGGACTCCGGTATTCCCGAATATTGCTCCGTGTTTTGGTCGCTGGAGCCACTGCCTTGACTGCCGCCACTGTGTGACTGGTTGTAATACTGGCCGTTCGCAGGGTAGGGATTGTTTCGATCTAGCAGTTTGGAACCGATCTCCGCAAATGACAGCTTTCCGCTCTCGAAGATGCCTTTGAAGATTGAACGTAAGTTGCGGTTCAGCATGATCCATCTGTCTGTTGCACTTGGAGACGCCTCAGAGAACTTACGACTCAAACAGTAAGTCATCAATGCTGAAAAAAGTAACATTATCATGAGTTTTATTCACTGAGACCAACTTCACAGTGATAACAAAAACAGTGAAAAAGTAACACGCAGCTTCTAGTTAGTCCATCAAATTATATCCAAAAAAGTGAAAAAAGATCATTGCCATTAAGCTCAAGGAAACAGGCCAAAATAAGCAACTTATTTTCAAATGTTTTCATCTTTTATTTCAAGATAAACAACTTTGCCAATAGAAAGTTCGAAAGGAGTCATGAACGGCAGAAAATACAAAAACGTTCTATTTTTTTTTGAAAAAATCGGCAAGTTTCGAACTTCAGAGAAAACAATATGGCCTTAAAGCTCTTTGAATATCAAGAACAATTTATGATTTACACTTTTTTTGATTAAAACTAACCCAATTTGAGAAAACTAGATCGATAAGTAAAATATCGATTCCGCTGGGAAATCTGTAAATTAAAGTCCAATTTCGAAACAAGAAGTCGGACACGTTTTTCGTAGCCTTTACACTTTTGCTATTCGATAGTGGATTTTTTTAAAACATTTAGGATTAACAAAAGTCTTCACTTTATAAACGAAATAAACTGAACTTAAAAAAATCAAGTCAAACAGCGAAAAACCAAACTTGAGTGTGATGAAATTTTATAACTATTTCCTGAAAAAAACAGCAAGACATATTTAAGCGCATTCACTACGTTCATGGCGCTAAAACAGACTGGTTGCTTCGTAAAATAGAGGAAGATAACCGTACTTGAAAGCATTTCTCAATATTGCTGAAAGGAATGATATTATATCTAAACTGAATTCTAAAACCAAGGATTTTCATGCCTAAATGCCATTGGAGACGAATATTTGATTTACTCTTATTGCACAATCTACAGGTATAAGGATCAACGCTCAAGATAATGAGGTGTAAATATCAAGATTCGCACTACTTGCAATAGAAAAATGAATGACTCTTTATACTTGCAGATGAACCGACAATTGGAAAATTTCAAAAAAAATCTTGGAACTGAATGACCAACACTTTTGCAACTTCTACAAAAAACGAGGGGAAGCATCGCACTAATTGGGATGAAACTTATACATAGTATGACAAACGACTAACATAAATAGAGATGAAAGCCGTATAAATAAATCATCGAAAAAAAATCTAACAAAATTTTTCCTACATTTGTCTTGATTTTGTCTTGTATAAAAACCCCTTTCATGAAAATATGCAAAGAAGTAGGACAATAGAATAATAAATAAGCATCGAAACTAAACTTACAAAGTAGGAACAAAGTCGCTTGAGCAGACACTTGCATCGCTTGAGCAGACACTTGCGCCGAAAAAGTTTTTACGTACCCTTCAAAACACTTAGATAAAGATTTTTTGCTCCTTCAAGGAGGTCTTTAAACCGATATATTACAAGCTCCGCCAAGAGAAAAAAAATCTGATATATTGAAATCGGAGTTGCTAAGTTTACAGCCAAAAAATTTAAAATTATCTGTTCACCACCTGTCTGTTCGCGATTTCCAATCTTGTTAGCAAATGAATTCTTGTTAGCAATCTTGTTAGAAAAGAGACTCGCACCCCTAATCACAGGATGCAACCTATGGTGGGCAACCCTGACCATAGGTTGAAAATATTGGAGCGGCAACTAAGCCGAAAAAAATAAACCGACAAACTTTCGTGCGACTTATCAATTTTTCCCAGAAAAAAATTTCAGTTTCAGATTCTGAAAAAAAACAACCGGGACTCAAACCCCTAACCCTAGGTTGCAAAGGCAACATCAGTATCTTCAGACTACGTGCAATGGGGCCTGGAAGTTGATGAGGTTCGATAAATAAGCAACATCAATTTCAATTACAAATATGTAAGAAAAGTAGTTTACGGGAAAAAGTCAAGTTCTCGATTACAAGACATTTGCTCTCGTGAGTGTTATTAAGTTTTAGTAAATGAATTTGAACAAAAACAAAAATCAATTCGAAAAACAAATTCTACCCGACCTAATAGAAAAATAACTTATTCATTTGATGTATAAAAAACTCTCAACGCGGATCAAATTACTAACTGGAGTGTATGATTTCCTCTGATCTGTTGAAGCTGTTGTGGTATATATTGGTGTTGAGGAATCTGCAGGCCTCGTTGAGGGAGAGTGCCAGCAGTAGTCCCATCTCAGTGAAGTCCACCTCCATGTTGTTGAAGTAGTTCAGCCAGAACCCGAAGAACCTCCTGATGTCGTTCGAGGGCACGTCAGAGCACTTCGCCTCGTAGTAGTTTGGAGAGCCCTGTTAAAAAAATCAGGAGTAGACGTTTTGCCAGAAAAGTAAAGAAATTCTTCGCATAACTAAGCCGACAGACAGTGGAAAACATCGCCAATCAAAGATCGGATAAGAGTAATTAACGCAAGTAAACAAAAAAAACACTGACTTTCTTGAAAAAATCTTAACTTTCGAATTTTAAAGAAAATAGATGCCTTTTAAGCTCTTTGAATTTCTAGAAAGATTTCTGACCGGCGCTTTTTTGATAACATGAACCCAATTAGACAACACTGGATCAATAGGTAAAGTTTTTATTCCACTGGAAATCTTGAAACTGAATTCCACTTTCGAAAAAAGAAATCGTTCGTTTATTAGCGCCATTTCCACGGTCGTTTTTGCAGAGTGCTAATTACGTCATTTCCAGCATATGAATTTCAATTAAACTAAAAAAGTGCATTATACCTAAGTACATCAATATTTAAGTACTTTTTCCTGAAAAAAAAAATCAGCAAGACCTGCACTGCGTTCATTACTCTTAAATAAGCTTAATCAATTTAGGACAAATCGTTGAAAGCCAAAATTGCTTCAAATCTTTTAAAAAAAACAGTATTGAGCTTTGTTATTGTTGTTCCGAACATTGAAAATGGGGACAACTTAGTATTCGAGTGTGTTTTAGTTTTTTATCCTTTTTTCTTTTTGTTTTCCACGCAAAATCAAGTACCACAAATAATCATCGGACTGCATTGAGTGATATATCATACTAAAACCCTTTCAGTTGTCATTCGAACCACATTCAAAATTCAAAAAATTCCCTTTGTCGAGAAAAACTGGTTTGAAATTTTTGGGTTTTTTCGTCGTAATTCGATCGAAAAAAAGCGAGCAAAAATAGCTTATTTTAATGGCTGAAAAGCTAAAAACAGCTTAATTTAAACCGTAAAAACTTAGTTCTACTTGAGAACGTTGTTTTACTTTGAGTATTAGCCTCTTTTTGGAGTTTTCAACAATTCAAAAAACTGCAAAATTTGAAAAAAAAAGTTAGTTTTCAAGTAATTTTTCTACTCAACTATTTTTCAATTTGCTTATTTTATTATGACTGTATCATATACCTAATCTCCAGTTTTCTTTGTTTAGCTCCTTTTAGCACATCACGCCGAAAAAAAAACGACAATAATTTGAAAAAACTTTTGTTGTATTTTTTAAGACTACGGTCGGAACATTCTTTGCTACTTGCACAGCAACCGGCTATCCTTGTTTTATTTCTTCAGTTGTTTTCATTTTTACAGATACTTCTCCCTTTTTAAGTAATTTGCCATTTTTCAACTTTATTTGATTTGCTAACTAACTCGAAGCTGATAAGATCTGCTCAATAATAAGCCCGTAATGGCCGTATAAATCAACTCAGAGGCGAAGAAGCTGCACTTTGTAAGCAAGCAACAAAACGCCAGGAAGTGGCTTTAAATGTTTTTGGAAAAAGAGGAAAAACGGAAATAAAAATAACATATTAAATGTGTGCGTGTTGAAAAAGAAGCTCCCTCAACGGAATCGAATGACAGGTCTGAGCATCGAAGTCGACCGCCCAACAGGAAAAAACTAGGGGCCCAGCTGAAAGCTGGAGAGACCTGTTTGATTATTTTAATATTGATTATTTTAAAATTTCAGGTTTCTCAAGTCGATAGCGCCCTTCCTACGCAAAAAAACGTGAAAGAGAAGCTTATGCATTCATTGTTGACTATAATATGTTGACTATAACTGACATCACAAAAACGTTCTGGAACAAACCGACCTGATTAAAGAGAACTAGCGTAACTCGTGCAACTTCTCGTTGGACTTCTTCGAACCATACAAAAAAAACTCAACACAAAACCAAAAGCACCAAGCAAAAGCGAGAAAACGTAAGCATAGCGGATTCCATTGTCTAAAAAATACACACAATAAGTATATTGAATCTTTGTTCCAATGCCAAAAAACTTTTATAAAAACTTTTCCTAAGTGTACAGCTCTTCCCCGAGACAAATTAAGGACCAGCTGCTTGGGCAGGGGAGTTTCCTACAACCTGGTCTATCGATTAAACCCTTAATCCCAAATCTGGATGGGTAGTTTTTGAAGAAATCGAAAAAGTTTGAAAAAATGGCCAAAAGTGAAAAAAGTACCGAGTTGTGAAGCTTTTCTAAGACCGTAGGGGGTGGGGTAGGGTAAAAATTGCCCTAAATTTCATGCAGGCAGGTAGGTGAAACGCTACTGAATCCATTCGAACCACTTTTATGAGAATCTGACGAGTAGTTTTTTCGGAAAGCGAATTTTTCGAAAAAGCGTCTCAAAAAAAAAAAAAAAAACAGATCGCATCTGGAAAAAAAAAAAACGTTTTCATAATAACTGTTTAATAAATCAAACAGGAATTTAACCAGTAATACAAAGCATATACTTGTATAACGTTGATCATACATATACTTCATAACAAACTTACTATCTCACAAGCAAAAAAAAATATGCTATAAACGAATGTTCTTCTTTTTTTTTTAAAAAATCTCATTTTGAATTTTTAAAACTGAAAATCTGACTACCATTTCTGGAGTTACCTAGAAGTTACTTTTATGGTATAAAAAAACGGTTATATCTTAAATATGGCTACTTACGGGTAAAACCAAAGACCATCACAATTAAAAAAACTTTTCAAAGAGGAAATTTTGGAAGTCATACACGTAAAACAGTTTCAAACAGTAGCGGATTGGGAGGAGGGCAGACGCCCCTTCAGGGGTTCGACCCCCTATCGGCCGACTCAAAGAGTCTCCCCTTTGTACTATTTTGAGATATCCATTTTTGGCTGACTGACCTTGAAATTTTTCAAAAGGCGCCTATCTGGGTAGTGGGATCGCGCGCCGAAAAAACGCGATTTTTTGGTCGAAATTTTCTAAAAAGTGCCTAGAAACGCATTTTTAGGACTTTTTCAAAAAAATTGCCTGCGATGCAGACAATTTGGTCAAATTAGGGTCTTTATAGTGCTTTGGGAGAGCTCTTAAAATCAACTTGGTCGACCTAAAAAAAGGTCAAGTTTTCAAATTTTTTTTTGAAAATCCTCCCCCTCCTCTAGAAATTCCTAGATCCGCGCCTGGATTCAAATATGCTACATTCAAAGATATAAGAGTCTCAATTAGGTACAATAGGCTGAACTGCTCAGTAGATCTTTAAACTTTTAGGTAAAATTTGTTTCCCAAGTCCTTCGAAGTTCGTTCGTCAATAGCGTCAAGTTAGTTTCATTTAAAAACACTTAAGGAGCAAATGATTCAAATGAAGTGAAATTATACACATCATGAACTATCAAATTGAATGAGAATAGGACATACGTCCATGAAATTGAAGGTTGGATAGACTAGGAGGAAGTAGACGAATGCGGAGATGGTGGTGATGAGTTCACTGGTCTGCTCCAGACTGAAGAAGCTGGGGATCCATCCGGGCATCTGTGACACACACTCGACCGTACACTTGATCACACACTCCAGTCTAGATCAAACACCAGTCTTATAAATTTAGAATTATGTTCTTAGAATCATGAAGCAGGTTCCATTCAAGAATCATGTTCTATTCAAACACCTTACTAATGCATATTATTTCACTGTTAATTCAGACTTCTTTTCCGACTTTCTTGCACTCGCAGAGCACTGCGAGACTTTCTGGATTAAATATCCTATTACACGAAAACACAATTGCCATTTCTGAACGATAACCTCTATGTAATAATCAGCTGAGGAAAACTTTAAGCTAAGATAATCAGCCAACTTCGACAAATAAAAATTTCTCCACTATACTCAAAATAAACAGATGCTGCACAATTTTACGCGCTGCAAAAACCAGTTAAACTGGATAAAAAATGTTAAAAATGGTATTAGCGTAACACAAAGTATAAACACAGGCAAAGATGCACTCCGGAAAAACGTGAGAAAGCGGCAAGTAGCTCTAAAAAAGGAATAAAAATAAGGAAAAAGAAAAAGTAAAAATGAGCCTTAAAATGTAAATCTTTTGCTAGGAGCCGGAATTGAACCTATGACCGGGAGATTAGGAGTCTCACGTGCTCACATCTGTGCCACGATCATATGAAAATTTACTAACATTTAACACCAATAAAAAACCACAAGCTGTTAAACTGCTAATTTTATGCAGCAAAAAGCCAAAAACAAATTATGCTGCTCACAGATGGCCCATTAAGGGTATAAAAAAGACCATTATAACTCGAAAAGTTTGTCAAACCTTTTATCTTGTATATGGGAAGGTAGCTTGTGAGGAAAGTTTCAAAAACGGTCAAACCCTCACAAAATGTACTTTTCCTAAGGCTCTTACTTTGTCTACAAAAACTAGGGCGTAGCAGCTTTAAGCTTTAACCTATTAGTACGATTAAAAACACATATATTAAACACAGGGTTAAAACAGCATGACGCAACAAGTAAAGAAGAATTTGATAATTTGACAGCCATGAAGGTGAAATTCGACCAAAATATTCCGACAAAATATAATTGATAAAACGACATAAACTGTCATAAGCAAAAAATTAACATAGCCAATCGAAGATTGGAAAAGAGTAATGAACGCAAGTGAACAAAAAAGAACACTGACTTTGAAAAATCTCAACTTTCGAATTTTAAATTATAAAATAGATGCCCGTTAAGCTCGTTGAATTTCTAGAACAATTTATGATTAGCGGTTTTTCGATAACATTACCACAACTTGAGAAAGTTGGATCAACAGTTAAAGTTTTTATTCAGCTGGAAATTTAAATTAAATTCCACTTTCGAAACAGGAAAAAGTGCACGCTTTTTTGCGCAATTTCCCCGTTCGTATTTAAAGAGTGCTATTCACATCACTTTCAGCAGATAAATTTCAATTGAACTCAAAAAGTGCATCTATGCCTAATTGCATTCATAAATGCATCACTATGTATGAATGCATATCTGTAGTTATTAGAGATTTTTATGCACATTTTAAGACTTTTTCCTGAAAAAAAAAACAGCAAGACCTATATAAGATTCTTCACTACGTTCATTACTCTTAAAAACGAAACTCTATATTTATACATAAAACTGGCTCTACCACAATCTATGAAGATGCTTTTGAAAAAACATGCCAAGACAAAAGAATGCGAGAAGAGCATCGGAAGAAAACTTACAAAGCGGTAACAAAGACGAAAACACTTAAGCCAAAACCCATCCTGCCAAAAAGTTTTCCCCTCATCCTCAAAACAAACAAAAACACACAGACCAAAAAATTTGCACATCATACGGGGCAAAATGAGGCGAAATCTATAAGGCCTTTACGCCAGATGTGCCGGATAAATTAATGAACTTCTTCATTTTGAATTAAAAAGCCAAAACTTCTTTATTATTTTTTAAAACTTGACAATGTTTTATTTATCAAACTTTTTGAGAAGGGCTTAAGAGGGTGATTTACATTTTCAAAAAATTCTCATTAGAGATCAATCGTTATAAAACCCACATAGCTAATAGAAGAAAACATAGCCAACCGAAGATTGGAAAAGAGTAATGAACGCAAGGAAACAGGAAAAAACTGACTCGCTTTTTCAAAAACCTTCAAATTTTGAATTTCGAAGAAAAAATAGATGGCCTTAAAGCTCTTTGAATTTGTAGAACAATTTATCATGGACACTTTTTTGTTAAAAGTAAACCAATTTGAGAAAACTGGATCAATAGGCAAAACTATTGATTCGCTGGGAAACCTTTACAATTTTGCTGTTCGGTAGTGGAGTTTGCCAACCTTTTAACAAAACGAAAGGCATTGAACTTGAAAATAAATCACAAGTCAAGCCGCGAAAAATCAAAACTGAGCGTGAGCACATTTTGAGACTTTTCCTGAAAAAAAAAAAACAAAAAAAATCAGCAAGACCTGTATAAGAGTACTAACTATTTGAATATTAATATAGCAAGGGAACCAAACTTACAAAGCAGAAAAAAAGCCGAAAACCTTGAGGAAGCACCAGTTGAGCCGAAGAAAAAATGATTTTTACAAAAAAAAACTTTTTTAAGTCTGTCCTGAAACTACATCCTGTCTGAAATTACAATGAATAACACTGAAAAGTCTGTCCTAAAAATACAATCAAAAACACTTGCAACTTGATGAAAACGGCTGTTAGTGCACGAAAAATCCTTGATGTTGCAACTATGTCGGCAAAATTTGAGACAAACGTGAGTCGGACAATTTAAATAAGTAAAAATAAGTAAGGCTGTGCAAGAAAAGTTTTTTAAGGGAAAAAAACGAGTTCACGATTACAAGACACTTGCTCTCGTAAGTTTCTGGTTAGTGTAAAGATCAAAACAGTCTCGCAAGTGTTAAAAACAGAAAATCGAATATTCATAATAACTTTTTTTAGCAAACAGAACCTAACACTAGTCACCGATGAGTTAGCAACGAATAATAATAAATTACTTATAGTTGGAACTATAACAAAAATGCACACCAAATTATCACTTTTATTTGCGACATAGGTTGAAAAAAATGCATCGTAGTATTATACCACACTGTGGTTCTGTAAATGGGCGTAATAAGAAGATTTGTTTCATCTGCAAACTGTGATCCAGGCAAAGAAAAGACCTCAACAATTATATATTATTACTTACTGTTATTTATTATTGCTGACCGTTAAGAAAGAAAGAAATTTTTTCTCCAAATTATTCAGTTAGGCAACAAATGTTTAGCAAGTTTATGACAGATCAAACAGCTGAAAAAAATTAAAACACTGAGACGAGGCTGAGCTTCGCACCACAAAAGATACAAAACAAGAAACTGAAAAAATGTAGATTTATCCAAACCAAAAAGGTTAAATTAGGAACAAAAACAGCAAAAAAACATACTGTGAAATTAGCATCGGAATATAATGTACCCAAGGGTAACAAAGCCAAAAATATCTTGTCAGGAACCCTTTAAGCCGAAAAAAAACAAGACTTAAGACTTATGAAAAGTTAAGAAGTCCCACCTCACCCTTAAAACACACAAACACTCAAAAAAAAACTTTTTTGCTTGTCAATTGAAACAATATGATGCCACTGAGCCGATATAATATAGGCCGAAACCTATAGAGCTCAATAAATAGCAGCAGAAAAAACAGCAGAAAAAAAATCAAAAAATTTGAGACTACTAAGTTATTAAGTCCCCCTCACCCTCAAAACACAGATACCCACACACAATCTATTTCAGCTCATCGAAAGACGCAATGTGAGGAAAACTATCCGATATAATATAGCATGAAACCTATCAAGTCAAAAAAAAACAAAAGGCGAAAAAATTTGTCATGAAAAATTTGAACTCAAATTTTCATAAGAATTTATAGCATTTTGTGCTATCCATGGGTGAGCATAAAAATATGTTTCAATTGAAACGAGTCGAAATTAGGTCCCTAAGCCGATAAAAAGGGCCAAAAGGGCAGAATAAAGTCTTTAAGCGAAAAAAAACAACAGAAAAAGAAAATATACAAAGGCAAGGTTATTAAACTTAAGAACAGCGGAGGTAAATCACAAAACTTCAAGCAACTATAATGTAAAAACAAAAATCTTAAAATATGGCAACTAAGCCGACAAAACATAAGCAGACAATAATAAGCCGACCATTTTTTTCTTAAAACGGACTAATTGTCAATAATTATGGCCAGAATCGGAAACTACACAGATCGATTGCCAGCGTACGTGCAATTTTTTTAAGGGCCATTAAAATTTTTTGAAGTGGTTTTTTAAATTTTATAAATTGATATTAAAAAAATTAAAATTTGTATCAGCGTCAAAAAACGAAAATTTTCACGTACCAAAAAAAGTAGTTGAGCGGATGAACAAATCCTTGTGGGAATCCACTAGTGAAAGTAGTTTTTCCAAAATTTTAATCAGATTGATTGAAACTATGGTTTAACTGTCAAGCTGCACTAATCCGGTGTTTCAGTTTTAAGCACGGAACAAAAGAGGGAGGAGCAAACCCAATGACTTCAATAACAAATCAACGAGCTTTAATATCAGATTTCACTCACACCTGTATCAACTGTCGACTACACTCAACATACTCCAGAATAAGTGTTTATAAGAAGACCTAATTAATGCTGCTGGGTTTTAGAATGTCATCTAACAATATGGTTCATATGATTACAGTTCATCAACAACAACATTAGGCAAAAACTTATAGCAAAACGTATTTTCGCATTGCATTGCAACACAAGTTTCACCTAAAAACTTTTTAATCGTACAAGCAGAACTTTTGCAGTCACAGGATTATAATTTTATGAAAACCTTTTCGCCCCCATTTCCCCTTGTTCTCACTTGAGAACAAAATAAATGAGTTTTATAGCTCACCTTCGTTGCACCAGATTACAGTCAAATTGTCGTATTGCAAGTGTATCATAACTGCACAGAGTTGATGTATCAGGGCAGAAGAATGGCTGAAATGTTGCAAAGATATTTCTAAGGAGGGCCTCCATATAATCTACAATCGACTTCTTGAATATGTCAATTTTCTCCACTGTGTTGGGACATCCCTCTTTGACAACCATTAGAACTTCTTTCGGGAATAAGCGGGACTTCTCGGACAGCTTTTCTTTGATATGCGGCGCACATATTGCGAGCAGAGACTCGTTGAAATGTATTGCCAATGATTCGGGAAACAACGGCTCCATATTATTCCACTCTCCTCCTAGTTGAAGCAACTGTTACTATTACAGAGTGAAGTAATCTTGTAATGACGTATCATGTTGCCTTATGAGTAATTCCACGCGGGCATGCCCGTTAAAAGGTTTTCATCACTTCCTCTGAAAAATGAACTAAATTAGAAGATATTTACCTCCGTGAACTTAAGTCGCGAAGGATAAAAATAGACACTTTTTACTGCAAACAACAATCGATGTTACGAAAAAGTAGTTCAACTAAAAAGATGAAATTATTTGAATCTATGAATCAACTGGAAGCTTTCGCTTTTGATGCAATTTAATTGAACTATTTTTAAACAGGTAGTTTGTGTCAACAGAAAGCTTTGAAATATCTTCACTTGAAACGTTGGATATTGATTTACAAGAAACACGCCTCTCTGGTAAGAACCTTAAGGAGGCGACAGGACGAGTAGACTCCTCCCTCGACAAATCCATTTTGACAGGGTCTGACTGTTTGAACAACTTAATAGGCTAAAAAACATAAATCTATACAAATCAGTGATAGCCGGTTGCTGTAAAAGTAGCGCAGAATTAATTAATTAAAACTAAAACTAAATTAAAACTAAAAATAAGAAAAAATTCATATTATAAAATTTATCAATATTTTAGTGGTGTTAGCAATAGTAACCAAGGATGGCCAGTTACTGTGCAAGTTGCACAGAATGTTCCGGCCATAGACTTTTAAAAACACTTCAAAAAGTTTTGCTTTCAAATTAGTGTCGTTATTTCTGGTTATTTCGTTATTACAACACAAAAAAATCGAAAATGTCAAAAAAAACTAGATCTATCCTAATGAATAAGGCTTCTTTTGAAACAAAAACATGCCGAGACAATAGAATGTGAAATTAGCATCGGAAGATTTTAGAGTTATGAAAAGTCCCCGTCGCCCTAAAAACACTCAAATGAACATTATTCCCTCGTCAAATGAAACAATATGAGACAACTAAGCAGCCTAAGAAAACGATCAAAAAAATTGTTCGACTAAATTTTTCAAAACACAGACACGCACACTTTTTTTGCTCATCGAAGGACGCAAAATGAGGCCGATAAGCCGAAATAATAAAGTACAAAACTTGAAGCCGAAAAAAAAGAAAGACAAACAATAAAGGCTATGAAAAAATTGTTGTCATGAAAAATTTGAATTATAAATTCTATTAAAATTACATTGAAAGAACTCGAAATTACGTCACTAAGCCAATAAAATATAGGCCGGAATAATTTGGGCAGAATAAAGTTTTTAATCGAAAAAAATATATATACGATGTCAAAGTTTAAAAAAAAATACAAAGAAACAGCAGAGGTAAATCAGAACACTAAAAGCAACTATTAAAAAAACTAAAATTCAAACAAGCGAATTAGTTGGATGGTACAAACAAAGCTGACAAAAAGTAAACCGAAAGCGACGAAGTCGAAAATTCAAAAAAATATCAAAGAAATATCATGAAAAAACAATTGAAATGCGAATTTATTGGAGTGACACTAATAAGGATCCACAGTTTGAGTAATAGAACAATTAGCGCAAATGTACGACGCACATACAGCATACTGACATCTATGGACAGAGTTGTTTACGGGGAAAATGTCTAGAACCCGATTGCAATATTTGCTATCGCAAGGGTGAAGAAAAATGACTTAGAAAAATTTGAAATTTTTTTTAAATGACTAAACAAATTGGAAAAAAATCACAAATCTATTCAAATTTTTCGCAGACATTTTTTGAGTTTTTGATTCCCAAAATGGCGTTAAAAAACTAACTTTACTCGAGTAAAGCGTAAATAAAGCATAAAAAGTATTGTAACCTGCTTAAATTAAGCATAAACAAGTTAACTCGCTCGCTTTACTCTCTCAAAATCAGACGAAAAATCAAAAAGTTCGAACTGTTTATTCTTGACACTGGAAAAAATTTTTTAATGTGCTTCAAATCACGACTGGAAGGGCTTTAATATGATATATCACTCAACACAGTCCGATAATTATTTGTAGAACCTGATTTTGCGTGAAAAAAAAACTAAAACTAAAACTAAAAAACATCCGAATACAAAGTTACTCCCCGTTTTCAATGGTCGGAACAACAACGCTCAATTCTGTATAGGGAAAGCGCAAAAATACAACAAAACTAAAAGGTAAAACTTGTTACAGTATATGCAAATAACACGTTAGAAAATAGATGAAATGCCTTTTTGTTTGATTTTGGAGTTTTTTCTGTTCGTGAGAGCGAACTGAATTGGATAAGGAGCCATAGGAACCTTTTTAAATAATCTACAATATTGAAATGTTAGTAAAATTAAATTGGAACTTCAATCTGTAATTTCTGGTCTGACACAAAATGAAAAGAAATTTAGGAAGGGGGGTGGATTGTTGTCGTAACAATCACATTATTGGTTTATATTTTGGATGAATTATATTTTGATTGAAGGATATTTTGATTTCTGGGTACTCTATCAATTGACATCAATTGATATTGTTCTTCATACTCTATCAACCGATTACAATACAAAAAACACAAACTCATTATACATTAACCTATTACATATATCCAATATATAAAGAAAAAATTAGACTCGCAGACCTTTTCATCGATGGGTGTAGGATACATGTGCATGTCCTCAACTTTCGTGCCTTTATAAACTATTGTGTTATCAAGCGCAAGTGTCAGATCTTTCACCATGATATTCCGCATTAATTCAGGGAATGAAAAATCGTCATCTTTAGTTGAATCAGCTTTTCGGTTTCTCAGTGAGGTTTTTTGAGACTTCTCCTGCTTCTCTGTGACAAATTGCTGCACGCTATTTGCGATTGAAGCCAACATTTTTGTATTGCCCTCATCAGAAGACGAGGAGGATGATTCGCTCATTTCATGTCATAAAATATCTACGATCAAATGTTCATAGTTATCAGAAAAAAAACACTCGGTCACAACTCATATTTGAGGCTAGAAAGGATAGGCTCTATAGCCTGGCTCAGGCCCAGAAATACTATTTCGCGTGATTTTGTCTCAATAAGTAAGAGCCAATACGTGGTTCGCTTGGAAATTGAACTCAAGAATCGTTGCAGCTTAAAGGCGCCTACCAAAAAAAAGAGATTCCCTAAGATCAGGTCTCAAATTATTTGAAACACGCGAACGACATTAAAAACGGGGCTCTAAAAAAATAAAAAATTAGACATTGGAGAAACTTTTCTTAAAATAGATGCTAGTTACTTATCTGACCGCCAACAGTATGTTAAAGTAAATGACTGCACTTCTGATAGTACCTGTCACTAGTGGTGTACCTCAAGGTTCTGTGACATTCGACCAGAATGGCGCCAATATGCATCGAATTTATATTATAACATCGGACTGGGAAGATTGACCGTTTTAGTGGATTAGCTGTACTAATTGGACAATTTGGCGATTTAGGAATGGTCAGTTTGGCGTGATGTAATAAATTTTTAAAATTCGTTCCAAAATAAAGACACGTCACGACCTTGAAATTTCGCTACAAATGAAAATAAGAAAAAGCAGAAGAACATTATTCGTAGAAACAGACGAGTCGAACGAGAACTAGCAAAGAACGAAGAAGTTATAGTGATCGACGTTAACGGAAGACCATTCCGAATTGTAACGATTGTAACTGTACAATCGTTACCGAAGATTTCCCGAGAAACAGGAAGGTTATTGGAACAATTTCACCAGCCTTCCAGAAGGACGATAAGACCGCTCTTCGTACGGTTTCCAGAATCCGGAAGGGTCTCGGGAAGGAGACTGTAACTCTCTATTTTAACAAACTTTTAGCTTCCTGGAAAGTCCTGAATTGAATCAATGACGCATCTATGTAACATTCGCCCAAATACTACAAAGCGACGGAGCGTAGAAAAAGTACCTATTAACAACTGGCAGGCGTCAGTTACCTTAATCCTACTCGTTTTTCACCGTCTCGACCTTGCCAGTTGATTTTCTGGTCTGTTTAGGGCTAAGTAAAAAGTCACTATTTTTAGGCCATCAGTCAGACGATTTTTGATCAGCTTTCGTTTACATGCGAACACAACCACATAGCTGAGTCTCGGATCCTCAGACTACGTGATTGCTATTAAAAACACGGCTCGAACAACCTATTTTAATATGTTTTTGTGTGACAGTTCTATATTAAATCCATCGGAGATGGATTGACCCTTTCCTCTTTCTAGCTACTCATATTCTAAAATATCAAATTATACCGGTGTTAATTTAAAGTATCACGACATCCAAGTAGCTATACAGTCAGTTTTATATAGTCCCTTCACATAAAACAGTCTCTGGGGGACCAAGCCTCCGCTCCCGTAATATTCCTGCGATAACGCTCTTATCTCTTCCAATTTGTGTCCCGGGAGGGTTCCGTGGTATAATCCTTCCCCACTGATGCTTCCTTCTCCACTAATATCCACTGCTAAGGTTCTTATCTTGTGTTGTTGCATCGATAAGAGGCTTCGTATTTTTCGTCTCTTGTGCGACCGTTTTTTACAATATTTGTCGTTGTTCTGCTTTTTCATCGTTTTTTGTCAAAATGGCCGTCTTTTTTGTATTTCTGAGAAATATTCCCCTTCCGATCGAAATTTTGAAAAGAAAAATTCTAGAAAGTTCGTACCCTCCTTCGCAATACTTTTTCGTTAATAAGGCCTTTATTCGTTTTTTCTCGCGTCGCCGGAAGGTTGCGCTGTGCCATCTGGCAGAATGGCACATACTCCCCGGACAGTCCCCATCAATGTCCCTATTGATCGCATAACACCGGGTTATCGTCAAGTAGTGTTCCAGTTCTCTGTAATCAATCTTACAAATTGCATAAGAAAATGAAATTTATCTACTCCACCTCAACTCACTACGTGTTCACAAATGGCATCGTACTACATCTCACTGCCTTTCAACATTTTCACAAAATTTGCACCATGAGGAGTGTCCTAGATAAAATTTCTTCTCTGACCACTTACGTCGTCTTGCCATAAAACTTCTTTTCGCTCTTTGTGATTATTAATTTAACATCACTCACCAAGTATAATCAGTTATTTATGCGGTCCTTTCAATATTAAAACTAAGAAACTCTGTGGCTAGGAAAGTTATTGAGTTACCCACCCTTCTCGAGCGAGTTTACTCAAACTTACCATGTCGC